CTCCTTCTAATTGTGAATAGCATTACAGTAACATAGTTCTATATCGAATATTTTTGATAGATTAATATGAATATAAATACTATAATGTCATAATACCATTTGATTTACATTTTATTTTGAAAAAAAAATAATAAAGTGCTTGAGAACTTTTTATCGTATTTATAAAGTATTCAGCCACTTGTTTACATTAGATTCTCTAGTTGTCAATCGAATAGATCTTCTATTCTTAATTAAAAAATTACGATTGTTCAAATGAAAAACATCTAGTAGAAAAGTGCATTTTAAAAAAAGAAACAGAAATGTTTTTCTAGTAAGATTGCATCTATTTTAAATTATAAATTAACATCGATTAAGTGGAAATCATATATGTTTATGAAGAGAAGAAAAATAAAATTTCTATGTAATAATGATGATGAGGATGAAAAAAAAAGCAAATACAGAAGAAAAAAAGCCTTCGATTAACATAGATGCACAATAACATCCATTATTGTGTTGCAAAGCGAACGAGAAATAAAGTGACTCGTAGCTATACTACTTCATTTGCCTTCAAGACTTCATTTCCGATTCGATAGTATCCAACAACACAAAATTTCTTTTCATTGTTTGTCATTCGAAGATTCTTTTTCTCTTTAATGTATTAAGTTAATTGATAAGCGCCATTTATGTTGAAAGTCGAGTATCCGTGTCGTGAGATTTTCTCAACATATCAAAATCCAATCAAATCGACTATTACATGGGCTGAAGCAAAAAAACATTTACATGAAGTTCGTCTTCGACGTCAAAATCAGTTAGCATTAAATATAAATGAATGTCATAAAATTCATACTCTTCATAAACAATTATTTAATCATCAATTTGATACAAATTCTACTGAAAAAGCTCCCGATATTAAATCAACAAAATCAATAAATAATGAATATTCTTTACCAACAAATAAATATTCAATTCCTCGAATGGAATATGCTTCGACGATCTATCGAAAAGCAATACCAACATTCGAAATAGAATCATCGTCAAAATTTGATAATGATATACCAATTGTACACGAATTAACACAATATTTATCGGAAAATTCATGTACTATATCAAATGAAAAAATTGAAAAGTATCATAATAAAATACATAAAAAAACAAAATTTCTATAATTCATTATTATCTTTTAGTAATCGATCAGTATCGCCAATAAGAAAAGATCAACAAAGACGTTTAAGTGTTTCATCTGTTTCATCTGTTGATAAACGTGCAAATAAAGTCTATGAAAAATGGCCAGATTATAATCAAATAAGTGAAATAGTTGGCTATCGTATTGATCCTACACCATCAAAAATAATAACATCCGATTCTCTATCATCTCGTCCTTCACTTACTCGTAATCAACGAAAACGAAATACAACAATAGGATTTCCTACAACTTCAAAACAAATAAAAAATGTAATGAGTTTAAATCCTTCACCAACACGACGAAAACTATCAAAAATAAAACAATCCATCAAAACTGATGTTACACCAATAATTATCGATCAACCAACTTCATCAATTGAAAAAATTCTTACAATTAATCCAATTAAAGAAACTAAACCAAAACTACCAAGTATTCTTTGTCCATCATCAGTTTCATATTCAAATCGAATAAAAACTCGTCAATGGTTAATGAAAAATAATTTTTCATCAAATTCAATGCGAACTCTTCCTCTTATTTAATATTTATTTCTTTGTTCATACTGTTTATTTAGCCAAAAAAGAGACAAAAAAGATATATACAATATATATATAACACTGTCACATAAACAACATGCTAAATAATAATCAAAGAAAAAAAAAAGGAAAAATACACCGAACAAAAATATATCATTGTACAAAATAAAATCTTCAATATATTCAGGAATTATAGTAGAAATGTACAGTTTCAATTCACTGACCATCGACTCAGTGTAATTAGTGCACAATGACATCAGTGTTCGCTGAAGTACTAGAACATATTGCTACAAAAATGAAATGTATTTAAATAGAGTTGGTGTTTCAATATTGCAGCGAACGCGGATGTCAGTGCCTTACGAACAAACATTTTCAACTGATCTATCACTTTTGAATTTCGACTCTGTGTAAAAGGCAAAGTTCAGTAAAATATGAAAAACCTCAAAAGGATAAATCATCTTAGGTTTTCTGTCCAGAATTTTATTGGGATTTTTTGCCTCTATCTTGGTATATACGAAAAAATCGATTAATGATAGTGCGACCTGTGCCACAAATAGATCCATTTGTTAGTAGAATGTCCTGAAGATTATAGCTCAAAGGAAAGTTTTCTTCTCGAGATATTAATGTCCCGGAAATCACTCATATTCTCCTGAAGATGGTAGAATTTTCTATTTTTGGAACTTTTTTATATCTCAGAAAAAAAATATATTCTTTTGAGTTGAAATTTTCAGGACATTCTACTGATAAGTAGATCTATCTATGGTCAAAATATCAGATCAAAATACTATTGTTCGATTTATTGGTATTTACTCTATCCCTGAGGTTAAAATTTCAGTAAAATGCTTATAAGTCTGGACAGAAGACTCATCCTTTTGACATTTTTTATACCTCACTGAATTCGACGTCATGCATAGGGATCGAATTCAAAAGCAATTGATTAGTTGAAAACATTTGTTCGTCAGTCGACCCTGTATCGATAATTCATTGTTAAATATTTACAACAACACTATACATTTGTCAATTATACTAACATTGTAACAAGCTTTCTTGGTGTTATTGGTATTGATGTAGGTGAAAGAGTATCATATGGACATGAATGATCAGAATCCTAGAAAAAAATAAAAAGATATAAATAAATAAAAATAATAAAATGATAAAACGGACCTGCCAAAAAAGACATTTACATAATTGACATTGATGTATCATTTCAGCATAAACTTCACGAAGGCCATATTGTCGTTTTAATTTAAAATAAGCTGTTTTCCAATCAATATTATTCGTATCAATATCATCTTGTTGTTTTCTCATTAATCCAAGAATTTTTTCTCCTAATTTAGAATTATTACTATTTTGTGTATCACCACCAAAATGATAAAGACATAATTGACGCCAAATAAGTAATTCTTGTGATACTCTATATAAATTTGAATTAATCATTCCAACATTAACTATATCTGTACCACTATCTAATCGTCTTATGACTTCACGTTGCATAACAACTGGAAGATAATCAAACGTTAATTTACTATTATCTTCATCTGTTTTTATCATATTTGTCTGAACTTGTTTTATTGTTTCTTGCATTCTTGTTAACATTTTAATATGTCGTTGCCATAATTGAGCTGATCCAATATAATAATAAAATGGATAAGCAGATTGTATTGAATTATGAAATTGTGTAACTATTCGCTGTATTAATGATATATTAACCCTTGTTTTAAAAACTAAATAAATAATCAAATCGAAGAAAAATAATATATATATATATATATTTAAATAATACCCATATCAATCATTCTTTCAATAACTTGAAATAAAGAGCGTTGAGCATTACCACTTAATTCACCTAATTTTTCTTTGAATAAAATTTGTACGACCTTGATTTCAAAATAAAATATACATTAAGCTATGCTAAATGTCCATTAACTTACTTTAGCAATATAATTAAAACGTCGAATATTACCAACTGAATTAGCTATTTCGAGGGCATTGAACACATCCGATAAACTTGAATTTACGTTTATTGACTATATAAAGGATATATAATTAATATGAAACAAGAAGAAACATTAAAACTTACTGAACTTGATAATGAAAGTCGTCGTGGTCGTTCCCATGAACCAATATCCGTTTTTGTCCATAGTTCACCATATGCACGCCAATCTCGTCCAATAAATGGCATTGCTCGTTTCTTTTTTCTTGTTATTGTCGATATTCTATGATATTGATTAACAAAAACGATAAATAGGATCCGACGATATTTTACTATTAAAGTAATCAGCAAGGCAAGACAATAGAATGTGCTCAGACAACAACAAAAGTTTGATTTTGAAATGAAGGTCGGACCAAATAACCGGTTTTTCTTTTCTTTTTTTTTTTTTTTTTCGTTTAGTATTTGTATGTTATGTATGTATGTACGAATGTATAGGCTTATATAAGAGCTCAGGACAAAAAAAAAGACGAGAAGAAAGAAGACGAATAAATGAAAAGAACAGGGATTGTCTCTACTCACGAGTTTCGCTCGTGCTCTCGTCCATATGATCGACGCCACTCGTACATATAGAGCAGGAAAAGAAAACGAAAAAAAAAAGATTAAGAACAACAACATATCAATAAGAGAACAACAAGGCAAGAATTTGTCTCAAGTCATCAAATGATTCTTTTTCTTAAAAGTTATCTGATATGTATTTGTAATAAATACAAAAGAAAAATAGAGAATGGCGCATACATTTTGCAATTTGATCAATATTAAATGTCTATTGATTAGTATAGACAAAAATTAAATAAATCACAGCTTGTTTTTCAAGGACATTCTCTTTTCGTTTATTTTTCTCATTGAGTATTCCACTAAGTACTAAAAGAAAAAAAGGAAAATCGGATGCATTGTGAAATAGTGCATCAAGTCAACGGAGATCACGCGCACAATTTTTTTTTTGCACTATTCATCATCAGCAATAGACCTCATGGACGACTGGCATATCGAATAAGCTCATAGCTAGAGAAAAGAACGCGAAAGAAAAGAAGAGAGATCTCATTACGCATTCGCTTACTAGTCGATTCTCTGATGCATCCCACTTTTTTTTTCTTCACACTATACAGACTCGTCAAAGTCTGGAGGTGAACAAGCGGACGAAGGAAAATGAAGAACAACACGAACAGAACGAGAAAAAAGAAACTACAGAAGGAACTCAGATGGTAAATATGATACATCAGTTTCAATCAAATGGCAACGTTGTTTTTGAACCTTGATACTCTTCTATCTTTGATTAAAATAATATTTATGCAAAACTGTTTTTCATATGAAACTAAAAATATTCTTTATTAAATAAAAATTGTTGTAACTTTTGTTGTTCATATGTTGGATAATCTGTGTAGCCTTCTTTTCCACCACCGCAGAGAGCTTTCCAATTTACGCTCGTATTTAATTCTCGATTTTTAATCAAACGATCAGCTAAATCTGGATTTGAAACATACAAGCGGCCAAATACAATCGCATCAGCCATACCAGATTCTATTACTTTAACACCTTCCTCACGAGTAAAATCTGTATTGACAAAAAGTGCGGTATGTTCGGAGTTAATCAATTGTCTCCATTGAAATATATCAACATCTTTTCCACGGTTTACCGGATCCAGAAGAGCCCAACGACGTGCTAATTGTATATATGCAAGACGTCGAGCATTTAATTCTTTGATAAGATATCCATAAGTTTCACTTGTATCATTGTCATTCATACCCATATCATTATAACCACCACCGGGTGTTAGTTTAATACCAACGCGATCATTTCCGTATACACGAGATATTTCATCAATAATACGTAATGGAAATCGACAACGATTTTCTGCTGACCCTCCCCATTCATCGGTTCGATGATTTGATGTATTATCAATAAATTGATGTGGTAAATAACCATATGAACTAATTGAAGAAATATTTTTTTCGTTGGAATGAACGAAAAAATTAATGAACTATTTTACCTATGCAATTCAACTCCATCAAATCCAGCTTTTTCAGCTCTTTCAGCAGCTTGTTTATACAATGTAACATAATATGTAGGATCTTGAATTTCTTCTGGTACAACATATCCAGGTGCATTTGGTAATTGTGGAAATTTACCACCTGTAGCTGCTACTGCTGATGGTCCAACATTTGGTCGATTATTTTGAAGAAGTGGATGAGCTACTCGTCCAATATGCCATAATTGAAGATACATTAACCCTTGACGAGCATGAACACTATCAACAACTTTCTTCCAAGCAGATACTTGTTCATTTGTATAAATACCGGCTGTACTTTTAATATACATTATGAATAACATAAAAAGCAAGATAAACATAAGATACTTACGTGCATTACTCCATTCAGAACCAAGTTCTTCAATCAATGTACCTTCACTAAGAATAAGACCAGCACCAGCACGTTGTGCATAATAGTCTATTTGAATTCGACCAGGAATACGACTTCGATCACGTGTTATTGATGCCATAATAACACGATTTTTTAAGAGTAAAGAACCCAACTTTAATGGTGTTGCATAAGACGGCATTTTATGCTTTGAAAATGTGGTAGTATCGATGTGTTTTTTTCTTTGCTGCTCTATAGAAAAAAAAAATAAGCGTAACCTTCGTATTTTTCTTCCTATATATATTCCTACCATGTGCAATGAATAGTAAACATGCAGGTCATGCAAAACTCAAAACAGTATATTTACTTTTTTTTTTTACCAACGCTCAATTAGAAATGTAAATTATTGGTGACAACAGTGAAATGCTCTTATTGACGCTCACTAAATCCTCGATGATCATCACAACAGTGTTTACTGAAACACTGACATCAAAGTTCAATAAAACATTATGTATCTTTTATGCTTTGATTTCTAATCACCATAGAAAAATAATAGAATAAACATATTTACCCTTCTTAAAAAAATCATAAAGTTAGTCAATCGATTATTTTGAAGAACAAGGTACACACTTCACAGAAATGCATCCCTTGTACATCTAGTCTTAATATATAAGTGATTATGGCTTATCTCTTATTTCGTTTCACACCTTTTTTTTTCTCTTCTTTCGAACTGTGTAATTCCAGGTATCGAGTGAGATAGTGGAAAAGACGATGTCAAAAGTATTCAATTTCAATTTCTAATTTTGTATGCAAAATTTAAAGAAAAATGGGAAAAAAAATCAGGAAAACGATTCGAAAGGAAGAAAAAGAGCGAAAGCAAAAGATAAAAAAAACTTAAGATAGAAAATATAGATAAAATTCGATGTATATTATATGGCAATAGTCAAAGAAGAGTCCACTCATGTACGAACAGACTGTAATATTAAATAAAACTATCTCTAAGAAAAGCCCTATGATAAACCATAAAACTAATATGGCTTCATCCAATGAAAACATCATGCTAATCGATATATTCAATCCAGAAGATGTCATAGTATTCTCATCCTAATTGTAATCAATGATAATCAAAATTGATATGTCAGTGCTTCAATGAATGATGATGTAAGGATTATCTGAATTCCAATGATCACGAACATCGATGCCATCGTCGCTTGATAATGAAAGTTGCAGTCGGTGATCAATAAAGTGAAACTGAACATTCTTATTCTTAACTCGTTTTTTTATATTATTTAATATTATTTTGACGTTGCAAAAGAACAGATTGATCAGACAGATTTATCACTTATGACTTTTGGTTTCAGCTATAAATGATCATAGAGAGTGCTTTCTACTCAAATTTGAATGATTTATTAGTAGCAATTCAAATTAAACGACAAGAAAACAATTTCACAATATGTTTTACTAGCAAAAAACGTTTTTTTGTAGCGTCATCTATAATAAAAATGTGTAGTATAAGCTCTTTCAGGTGCATCCACAGTATACAAATGCATCGAAAACCATTCGATTCTGTCAGTTTTAACAGACTTAAAAAACATTTATACATTTTGATACAATACTTTCAAAAAACAAAAAATCGCCGGTATAATGCACATGAGATCGATCAGTATATTCGCAGTAGTTATCACATAGAACTTCAGTTTTTATTTTATATCTTTGTACCATGCTTATAATTGAATTTCAATTAATTGATAATAATATTTGGAAAGATATATAAATTCATATATACCATCTACTCACTGCAAAGAGAATTTAAACATTTTTCTTTTGTGTTGTTTTTCGTCGTTCAAACAAAATCATAAAAGATCATTTATCTATTATCTCAAAAAATGAAATCTAGTTAGATTGTCACTCGTTGTTAAACGAAAAATTCATAAACTTGATGTGATATAAATACAATCGATCGTTTTTATATTTTCGTTCAAAAGTAACAGAAAAAAAAAGACAAAATTCCTATCAACCATATTATGAATAATGTTCAAAATACTATCCAGAGCAAAAAGCGAAAAAAAAAAATACAGATCTACATTTTTCAACAATATATGTAAATCTCCCCATTCCCCGTAATAGAAGATCTTGCGTCTTCTATTATGTCTTATTTATTTACATAGTATTTCCAGAAAGTTAAAACGATTTTGAGGATTAGGGAAGATATATTTAGGCCTTTAAAAGTTCAGAAATGACCTCAGTCTTTTAGAATTTTTAGGTCAAAACTTCGAAAACTAAGCATACTTGAATATGAATATACTAATTAAAATTCCAATTTTTTGAGAAATTAATTGATTAAGGGGACGAGGGAGTATCTTTTATTATGTCCAGCGCATCGTTTCTTCTAGGAGATCTTCTATTGCGAGGAGAAAGTTTATACACTAATGAGTATGTTGTTGTTTTTCATTTGATGTTGATTTCTCAGTTAATTTTTTTCGTTTCTTTCCTTCACTATCATTGAGCTTTACTGATGATGATAATGAAGAAGTATGAGTAGCTATTGATTCTAAACGTTTTTTATATTGTTCAATATAAATTGGATGATAAACATTATAAAGAAATTGTCGAAGACCATTATGAAATTCAAGTGGTTGTTGTACATAACAAGCATGTGAAGCATTTTTAATAATTAATACTTCACTAGATGGAATTTGTTTAAGATCATTAATTGCAGATTCAAATTGTGCATCGTTTTCACCATAAACAATTAATGTTGAAATCTTTAAAAATAAAATTTTTATTAAGATTATTTAAAATTAAAAATGAACTTACTTGAACTTGTTTATAATTATTTATATCAAATTTTTTTGTTCCAACTGGAGAAATTGGTATAAAACCACGTATAGATTGTTGTTTAGTATTTGATTGTATAACATAAGGTAAAGAAAAGCGACCACTCATAGATGGACTGATAATAACAAAATTTGAAAGACGAAGTGAACGTATAAGTTTTGTCAACCATTGTGCACCAGCTGTTTCTTGAACAACAGGTAATGAACTATTTCCATAACCTAATATAAAATAAAATAAAATAATAAATATTAATGAAAATACTAATTTACCGGGTAAGTCAATAGCAAATGCTTGATAACCCCAACTTGCTAAATATTGCAACGTACCTAAAATTATTCAATTTTAGAAGATATAAATAAATTTATGATAAAATTATACCAATTTTCTCCCATATTTGAGAAGAAAATGCTTGACCATGAAGTAAAAGTATTTTAAAATTGCTTTCACCAGCTTCACGAACAAGAACATTTTGATCCTAAATAAAACATAATAATTTCTCGACAAACATTCGTTTTTTCTTCTTTATAAACTATTTGAACATGATGAGAAATTAATAGATTAAGATTTTATCATTAATATTTGCTTTTCTTTCGATTCTTTATGAAAAATATTTTAAATAAAGTATTCATGAGTATATAACTCGTACGAATGTTCAATGATCAACTGTATTTTTTCTTACACTTCATAACATTCGTATATTTTAAAGTCAATACATTTTTGTTTTTATTTCATTTCGCTAGCACTGTAATCTCATAGGTCCTGTCAGTGTAAGTGTTGAAAAAAGGGATCATGTAGAATACGAGAAAGAAAAATAACAAAAAGTATGTAGAAATGAAGAACAAGCATACAATACAAAAAAAAATATTCGAACAATAAATGTGGTTAACATAAGACCTTGGATAAAGAAAGAGAAGGAACCATCTACTTGATAACTTGTGAAAAATTCTGACGTAGCAACACTTTTTTCATGTCATAATAATGGACAGAGAAAAAAAAACATTTAAGAACTTTTTCAATTATTATTATATAGTCCACAGATCTCTCTGGTCATGTTCAGTATCTCGCTGGAAGTTCTCTCCGAGACCAAGTCTTTCTAAATTCATTTCGGTTTGTTTTTTCCAATAATCAATCGAGTCGATTAAAGCTATTAAATATTTGTTCCAACATGAAATATATCTATCCTCTAAAGAGATTTTGTTCAGTGCATAAACGAAAAAGAAATTTTCATTTCATTATACGCAATTTATCACTCGTCAAAGACACGTATAGTAGAAATATGAAGGGTGTAGATGTGAGTTCTAATCTTCTCTTCGCCTACACTCACACCCACCCTGGAGACATCACATTTTCCCTTTCGGCCTTCCTACGGCCAATCTTACACATTGTTTCTTTGTTTATCAGAGAGAAAAAGAAAAAGTGAATGAATCCAGGTGAATAACGAAAACACAGGACAAGAACAAGGTTCGTCTTAACTGTGAGTAAGTAAAAATCAATATATTTTATTGACAAGTTTCACAAGAATAAAAAAAAGAAATCTAAGAATTAAAAATACGTAATTCTAATAGATAATATTATTTTTCTCACCTGATCATGACTCATTGAAATCATATAAGTTCGAATGCCTACTTTTGGTATATCTATTTTTCCATCATTAGCGTATAATATTGCTGGTTTACTATTCGATTTGACATCAGCTTTAATACGAATTAAAGGATCACCATTATGATTTGGTATAACATATGCATCACTATTATCAATTAATTCATAATTATCTCGATTTTGATGATATGATATATAATTAAGTGTTAGAACAACAACACCAAAAATAAAAATACCAGAAGTGATTAATTTAAAAAATGTTGATCGTACTATCATTTTTTTTTCAAAATTTCTCTAAAAAAGAAAATAGCGGATAATAATAGAAAAGATTCTTATCTTTCGTTTTCATTTCGTCTATTTTTTTTTTATTGACTTTATATAATAGAAGATGAAAATGATGAAGGTGAAGACGTGTTTATTTTAAAAACAAAAAACAATGCCTAGTAGATGTGCCCGTTGTGAAAAACGATTTGTCAATGGTGATAGAAAATCGAAATATAATAATCTTGAATATCATCAAGATTGTTTTCGATGTTTAACATGTAATCAACCAATCAAACAAGCATTTTATAATTTAGGTAATAATGAATATCGTTGTTCTGATTGCCAAAAAAAATGCCAAGTCAATGTTAAATGTATTCGATGTTCAAAATCAATTAATGATGGTTCTTATATTGAATACAAAGGTGCACCAGTTCATGCTGATTGTTTTATATGTCATTCATGTTCGGAACCATTAGGTAATATGCTTTATGTTGAACATAATGATCAACCATATTGTGTATCCTGTCATATGAATCAATTTGCTCAAACATGTGCTGTTTGTGGACGTCCATTTCCACCAGGTATATCCACACGAAAATGTGAAAATCAATACTTTCATCATGAATGTTTTCGTTGTTTTAAATGTGGAAAAATTATATTATCAAAAAACTATTTAATCAATCGAGATCAACAACGTATTTGTGACCTGTGTAGTTAAATTTAAAAGAAAACAGATTAACTTCTATCATTTTCTATAATGATTTAAGACAATGAATACAATTGAGATTTTTCTTTTTTGTCTATGATTTCTTTTTTTTTTCTATTCTGTTTTATAAAGAACATATTAAATCAGAACAAAACAATTTTTTAATAAAGAAAAGAAAAAGAAAAAAAGAAAAGTCTTCGTCACCGTGAAAATATAACCACAGCACTGCTCGTTGCCATGTCACACAAGGGTGCCTCTATTTGTTCTGTTTCTTTTCTCTTGTTCTCCCTCGTTTCTTTCTTTCTCATACTCTTCATATATACGAACATTACGCTGTACTCTCATTTATACCTTATGGTGGTAAAATTTTAACTGCGCATTGAAATTGTGTATGAAAAGATATGAGTAAATATGTTCAACCAGCACAAAATATTGGTCAATCACCTATATCTCTTTCCATTGATGCACTTGAAGAAATAGTTCGGAATTGCCAACGTAATGAAGAACGTTTACATGAACTTGAACGTCATACACGTCATGAACGAAAAAAAGCTGAACGTCTTCTACGTGAAACATATCAAACAATGCAAGATGGTGATAGTCGAAATACTAGTAATATTCTAGAAAATAAAACAAACAATGATCATAGTTATATAGATAATCAAAAATCGAAACAACAATCATCAAAAGAATTTTTCGTTACACTCGATGATGAAAATGAAGAAAATGAACATCATTATCGTCAACAAAGTAATAATACTAATAATAATAATAATGATATTGTACGGCAAAATAAACATTTACTTGAAAGAGTCGAAAAATTACTTGCTGGTGATGGTACAACAACATCCAGTGATATTATGTCGTCACAAGAACGACAAAAAAATATTATAGAAAAACCCACATCACCTGTTGAAGATGATCTTGATGAAAAATCATTAAATATTGATCATAAAAAATTTTCAGAACCTCGTCAACTTCAATCAGCTTGTTCAATTGAACATGATCTTTCTACTGTTGATCATTTATTATCAGAACGAACACCAATTAAAAATCATCGAATAAAATCTAATGTTCAATTCAAGCAAGAAGATCAAATAAAAAAAACTAATGATTATAATAATGAAAAAAAGATTTTATCAAATAAACACGATCAACAATTTTATGAACGTTATTATAATTATATTGAAACAGATCGTTCTACTTCTTCTAGACCAGAAAAACAACCAACAACAACAGATGATGAAACTTATCAATATGAATCTCGTCCAATATCAAGAATGAATAATAAAGATGAAGAATTATCTGATTTAGCACGTCGATGTGAAGATCTTCTTACACGTTTACATTCACAACGAAATCGTGCTGTACTATTGGAAAATTCTACTCATCATTATAATCATCATCAACGACAAACTTCACCTCATCCATCAAATTATGAATTCAAACGACATTATCATCATCATCGATCTATATCACCTTCACCAACACCACCATCAGCAATGTCTCTTCAACAAGCTCTTGAACTTCTTCGTCCGGAATTTATATCTCGTTCACGTCAACGTGTACGACGTATACGTCTTTTACGTGAAGAACGTGAACGTAATGTTGAAGCTGATCGTGAACGTCGAAAAATGCTTCTATTCTCATGTACAACTTGTTGTTCAAATCCAGCAAAACGTGCTGCATCAGCACCATCATCACGTCGTAGTATTTCATATATTGTTCCATGTGATCGATCGGATTATTCACGAATACCTTTGACGTATCATGAAATGAAAAAAGCAACGAAGAAAAAATATGATCAATTACCTGAAGTAACCGATCGTCGACGTCAACATCAAATGGATGAAATTCGTCGACAAAATCTTTTACGTGCTAAAGTATTTCGTGCACGTCTTCGACAACATGTTGTACGACATGGTCGAACAAATATTGATGAATCATTAACGATTATTGATACATAATAATCAAAAAAGAAAATTATTAAACTAAACTATTTTTTATTCAATATAAATGTATAAGGGATAAGTTTTATTCATACTTGTTATTATAGAAAAAATTTGATATTCTTTTTAAATAAATTCGTGTTTGTTAAGAAGATAATGAAATAAATTAGATTTGATTATCTGTAATTTATATTACTTGACTAAAGATAAACATACAAACTATATGTCATTATGATATCTAACATACTTTGCTATCAGATAGAGAATGAAAAATAATAGTAGAGAAGAAAATCTTGTTTAGTATTTGTTTCCAAACTTATAGAAGAATAAGAAAAAGAAAAAAAAACAATATATGCATTAATCGACAGTTTTCTTTGTTACTATCGGAAAAAAACAAACACTATCGCTTGAAAATAGAAAGAAAAATCTGGTACGTCATTTACTTCTTCTCAGTCAGTAAGAGTTTTAATTTTATTTTATTAAGTGGAACAATTATGGACCTATTCCGTCAACGTTTACTTCAAAGTACAACAAAACAATCTGATTTCATTGAAATCTTTTCAGTTATTGATCGAGGTAGTGGCTTTTTCTAATGAATATTCAAGGTAGTTCGTTTGTTTTTTTGTCGATATTAGATCATTCAGGCCGTATAACATTTGAAGAATTTCGTGCAGCAATTAAAACTCTTAATATTGAAATCAAAAGTGATGAAGAGATAAAACAACTATTTCGTCAATTTGATACAACAAATAATGGTCAAATTGATCTAAATGAATTTCTTCATCATTTAAGACCAGTTATGAATGAACGACGTCAAAAAGCTGCTTTAAATATATTTAATGCAATGGATGTTAATAAAGATGGAAAATTGACAATGCTCGATCTTAAAGTAGAATTTTCTTTTTTTTTCTTTTTGTATTTCTTTAACTTAGAATGAAAATTTTAAAAATGTTTCTTTTTCAGACAAAATATGCTGCTCAAATCAAAGCTAAGAAGAAAAAATCAGATCAAGCTGTCAATCAGGTAACTAATTTCTGAAATGCAAGATGTTCACAACGCGAAATTCAACTAAACCAGTTTTCTTTCGTTTTATCCATACATGTTTCGATAGATCTTGCTCTATTAATCAAGAAAAAGTGGATTTCTTCAAAAACACTTTCTTCTCAATTTTTGAAATTTTCTCTTCTCTTTTCTTTTATTAAACTTCTGCAACTTATACTTTCATATTCAATGTCAACAATGAAGCATAAAATCGATATTTAATCGAACTTTGCTCTAAAATTCTCTTGGTGACAGCTATCCAAGTTGCTTTTATTCACACGTTTCTAAGCTATTTTTGTAAGCTTATCTAGTTGTTTATGTAAGTGATGAAAGCAGATTTTTATATCATTTCTTTTATCGCACTATATGAGTCATAAAAGAATGCTTATCTTTCTTTTTCTTTCCTTTCTCTTGTTGAGAAGAATCATTTTTGCTGAATCTTGGGCAAAATAAATAGAACTCTATCCGTATTTCTCTATTTTCTTCATCAAAGCTAAGCTTTTACGCAATAATATTGTGATATTCGACACGGACGTAAAAACTAGATGGGCTGATATATGATTTCAAAATTTTCGTTACTCTTCATTTATTTTTAGTAAAAATGTCAGTCAACACTGCAGGTGAAAACTGACGTCAATAGAAATTATAAAAATATAGATCAGTCGGTCAAGTTTTTTTTACGCTGATTACAAATATGATAATCTTATTGCATGCAAGTTTAGTTTTGGTGAAGAAAATTGAGAAATACAGAACGAGCTCTAGGTGTTTTGCACAAAATTTAGCAAAAGCATTTTTCTCAACAAAGAAAAGGAAAGAAAAAGAAAGCTATGCATACTTTCATGTCGGGTAGTACGATAACGTTAATGAGATCAAATATTTGGTTTTATCGCTTACCCATAAAAACTAGATAGATTTACAAAAACAAATGACCTATAAACATGTAAATAGAACTAATTTGAGTCACTGTCATCAAGAAAATTTTAGCATCAGATTCGATTTAATAGTAGTTTTGTACTCACAAGGAAAGATTTTCAAGTGATACATTACTTTCGAGGTAGGACTATATTCAATTGATAGAGGCTAGTAAATAGTTCAGAGTAGGTTCAGCTGCTGGGTCTTTGTTGCTGAGATTTCGAATATTTAGTGGGCTTTTCTTTTATGACCTCAGTTCTCAAGCGAAGTCATATTTTAACATTTTGACTTGAGACTTCGCCTATATACCGACATCGATTGACCTAGTTTGTAGAAAAAAATTGCAGAATTTTTTTCACTAAGTCTTTCTACAGACTAGACTCTATCGATTGAATATAGTTTCAGCGTAAAAGCGATTTCTCATTTGACAAGCTTTCCTCGTCAGTTATTGATTGTAAGCTTGAAAATATAAGTCACAAAAGTTCAACGAAAAACAAAGCGGAACAGAAAATTTCACCAAAACGGCACTTTTTCTTGATCAGAATATCAAGTTCTATCGAACTACGTATAACAAAAAAAAGAAAACAAAGATACATTATTGAATTTCGTGTTGTGGGCACTTTTACAAATTCTAATTTTCATTTCTAGGCACTTCAAAATTTTTTAAATAAATTCGATACACGTGGTCAAGAGGATGGTGTGATTGAAAAAGATGAATTTCTCGGATTCTGTTCGATGCTTAGTGCTACAATCAGAGATGATATCTACTTTGAACATATTCTTCGAACACTATTTGATTTTCGTTTCTAAACACAATTAACAAAGAAACAGAAAAAAACAAAAGATTATGATGTGAACTTTATTTTTTTTTTCTTTAACAAAAATAGAACGAAATAGCATGAAACACCTGAGTTAAATGTCGAGGTTTGCAATATACAATAATCATTCGAATAGAAAACACAAGTACGAGATAAATATCAGATGAAGCAAACAGAAAAACCGCATTTCATTTATCAAGAATAAATCGGCAATAGAAAAACAATATATATATATTATACACACAATAACAAAAGCAAAATAAATCTTCTTCTTTCTTTTTTTGGTTGCTCTTATGATTCACTGTTTGTTTTTGTTTCGCTAAATCGATATTCAATCTTTTATCGAACACAAAAAATATTAGTCATATCATTATCATATTTTTTTTTTTTTATTATAGATCACCTCCATCTTGTGTCTTTTTTCTTTCGAAAGAAACAAAAAACAGAATAAAAATAAAATAAAAAAAAAAACGAATAATGATATTAATCGTCCTGTTGACTACGTATAACTTTATTAGCACGAGTTTTTTTCAGTGCTTGTGTACGCAATTTGAAAGCTGCTTTATTTGCCAATTGCTAAAGAAAAAAAATAAAGAATAAGAAAAGACAACGTCAGATAATATGATCATTCTTTATTTGAAAAATCACTTATATCGTTTTATAGAGCAACTCGTGTCATAATAGAAAATTGTTCTTTCATCAAATTGTGATATTTTGAGAAGCCACATAATAGTTAAAGGATATTATAGCAATTATGCGTGATAATATGACCTAATGTTACGATTCAGTAGGTCTCCAAACGAATCTATATCAAATTCTGTTTAACCTTTAATCATGAATATCTAATAATACTCGTAACAGCTATCTACATACCCAAAATATTACCATTTTTACTGGCTTCGATAATTTTTTGTTTTTAGGATGTTTAAAATTCTTCTATATTGCTCCTGAGAGTAAAGACGACCAACCATGCTGCTTTCTTAGACATTGTTTTCCATCAAGCTCTATAAGTATAACAATTAATTGTCCTCTGAATTTTTGTGCGTTATAGTCTAATCGACTAATCAATGCCTAAACAAGGTCAATTCTTCGATTCCTGAGGGTAAAACAGTATGAGTTTTGTAATAAATAATTTTTGAGCGAAAGTTTTTCTCTATAAATAATAAGTTCATCATAATCTATGATTTGACATAATTGATAGGAAATTTTGTACACAAAAAGTATTTATCATACAATTTGTATCCTTTTCTATCCTTAGGAATCGAAGCGCGATTGGCCTTCGTTTTTGACATTGATTGATGGATTGAACCCTGACGCGCATCAATTTAGAGGACAATAAATTAGTATGTTTATAGAGATTGATAACACACAATTTCTGAGAAAGGTACACGGTTGGTTGCCTTTGCTCTCAAGGGTAGTAGGAAAGGAATATTTAAAATATCATAAAAACTAAATATTACAGAAGCTATTAAAAATACTAAACTTTTGCGTAAGAAGAAAGCTATTCTGACTAGATATACTACATTCCAATATTGGATCATATTACTCACAACTGCTATAATACCTCTTAGCTAGTCTATAACTTGTCAAAACATTAAAACTTGATACAAAAAAAACAATTTTCTATTATGGTAAGAGTCCATTCTACAAAACGGTATTAAGTGACGTTTCAAATGAAGAGTTATTACGTAATCCGACAGAGTTCTTTAATCATTAATAATAAACATACGCGTTCAAATCGATTGCTTTTTGCTTTTTGACTTTCATCAACTGTAGCATCATCCAAATTAAAAACTGAACGAAGGAATCCATTTTCTTTTAAATGCACATTCATACCAGTGCCTAATAAATTACTAAAACCATTATAATAAAGACGTCCTGTCCATGATGTTATTTCTAATACTTCTCGACCAAATTTAATCGTAAATTCAGGTGATGTACCTTCCTATTTCAAAAAAGTATATTGTCAAATATAATTTTTAAAATATAAATTTTTTTTTGTATCATATACTTCAAATGAATTATATATTTCACGAAAAGTAGCACGTTGTAAACGTTTTTCTTTTTTGCCTTTATATTTTACACTTTCATTCGCTTTTTTATCTAATGTTCTTAATAATGATTCTGGTGGATCAGCAAAGACCTAAATAAAACATTAGAAATAATTTCTCGTTTTTGTTTTTCAATTTACATACACTATTAATATCACGTGCTATTTCATATAGAACAGCAATTGTTTCACCAGCTTGATTACGTAAATCAGAATCACTTGATTCAATAAGTCCAGGAATTTTTTCAGGTGTGTAACTAAACAGATTATAAAATTTACAATATAAAAAACAAATTCAAGGACTATACGACCGTCGAGAGAGAACTCTCTTCTATTTTTAAAAACTTTTTACGTCAGTTCTCTCTCATCGGGTTTAATTGCAGAAGTTTGTAGACTATCTCTATTCTTTAATTTTTGAAGATTGCATTATACCTTTTCCGTTTTGTGTAATGGGACTATTTCATGCAATTGAAATTATCAAAAACACTTGGTTACTTCTTGCGATAAGTCAAGATGTTTGAAAACATCTGAAACTAGTCTGATAATCTAATTCAGAATTATTCTTCGAATGTCTCAAGTAGAAGAGTAAGTTCTACCATTCTTGTCGACAGTTAGAGCCGTCAAACGAAACTCAGTATAAGTTCGAAAATCTCTAATTCAATCTGATATTAATTACTTTGACTAACACATGTCATAAGCGTGACTGCCTTCAACGGCGCAAAAAAGGTCAAAATGTTCCAAAACAAGAAAGAATATTTTCGGAGTTTATGTAGTAAATGATTGGACTGTTAAGAAAAAAAAATGCCGAAACGACAATATTTTTCATGGATTTCTAACGGACAGAAAAAATTTACATTACGTCTACTCATGAGAACAAGTTCCTAAATGATAGATTACTTTCGAATTGTGACTATATCCAATTGATAGGACTTGCCGAAGTAGGTAAGCACTCTAGAGTGGTTCGAGTTGCTGAGATTTCGAATGTTTAGTTAATCATTCCTGTAGGAGCCTAGTTTTCAAATGAAATTATACTTTCACTAAGTCTCTCCAACATATGAGTCTTTCGAAATATAGGTGCTTTGCCGTGATTATTATCAAAAAACACGATAAGTTCTACAGAAAAAATTCGCTAAATATTCCAAATCTTAATAACAAAAGGCTTCATCAGCTTGACTCACTTTACAGTATTTGCTTACTCTCTAGACCCTATCAATTAA